GTGCTGCCATCGACAAGGTGAAGTCTCTCGACTTTGTTGACACGACGAAAGTCGCCGTAATTGGCTACTGCTTCGGTGGAACCGGTGTGGTGAACATGGCCATTCTGGGGATGGAGGGCGTTCTGGGCGTTGTTGGCTACCACTCCGGCATCAGTCCCAACGCTAGGGTGGTGCGGGGCAACAGCACGGCACCTATGGTCGCCAAGGTTTTGCTGCACTCGGGCGTGAAGGACGACGCTGCGACTGACATGGCGATGCTGGAGGAAGAGTTCGAGTCTGCAGGAGCCACATATGAGATCGCTCGCTATGGCTCGGGCGTCTACCACAGCTTCACGGAGTGGATGGCCAGCGTGCCCATGCAAGCCATGTACGACCAGCGTGCGGACGTCAGGTCTTGGGAGAGCACCAAGCACTTCTTGATGGAGCTGTTTGTCGGTCTCCCTGCCGCGGAGCGCGAGCCCGAGTGCCACTTGGATGTCGGTTTAAGGAGCCATTCCTGCGCATGTCGCGATGCCAGAAAGGGAAGGCAGCCGAGCAAGACTTTCCAGGTTCCAGGTCCATGTCAGACTCTCATACCAGGTATCTTACCAGCTTGGTAGGTCATCGTAGTCACTGATGGCCGCACGATCCTCAATCGTGGTCCTGCTATAGGCGATCACGACCACGACCACGACCACGACAACCAGGCCCCTGTGTCTGGTAGACCCTCCACTCTCCGTCCGAGACCCTCTCAGACCTGAGCCCGAAAGCCCCATAAAGGACTTTCCGAAAAAAGGGGGACCCTAATATAGCACCTTAAATAGTAGGATCCTCATTCGAAGGACCCCAAAAGAGGGGGCTCCCTCCCTCTCCCTCTTTCCAGGTGGAGGGCTCGGAGACCAGCTCCGGCATGGCTGCCTTCCTCTCCTCCGCCCTTGGAGTGGTCTTAGCCCTGCTGGCCTAGGCGGGCCCTCCCTTTCCCGCAAGGTCCTAGGCATTCGCGTTTTAGTGCCCACATTGCAGGCCTTGTTAGGTGAATGTTACCAACCCTGTCTTAGAATTATTCAGGCCTTTTCAGCGCAGTTCGTGCAGGTCTTGGGACTTGCAGGCTTGTTAGTTTTCATCAGAAGACCCATAAAGCCCTGATGATGCACCCTTGTAAAGCTCAATGACCCCCAATGTTGGGGCTGGTTTGACGGATAGATTTGCGCCTTGTGGGCGCTTCCAACAGGGATTATCAACATCCTCTTAATCCTGCTATTCGTTCTTGGTATAACGTGTCTGAGCGTACATGACTTTCCCAAGGTTAAGTCTACATCTAACTTATTCTACACGGGTATTGAGGCGGAAGTTCATTTAACCGACATGTACATATGCATTTATTACGATTGATAAATACAAATCAAGAGAGAGAGAGAGAGAGA